CTGTCTACTTCAGTGATGTGAGTTTGTGAGTAAATGTGGGGGAAGGGTGGAGGGTCTCTCTTTGTCTGGGTCATGTACAGCACACACAGTACGTGTGTGGGGGGGGGGTCTCCCTGGTGTTTGGTAAAGATAACTTTTTTCATGAAACTGAAGTAGGCTGAGTGCAGTTACAAGCTCACACCTTACAATCATGTTTACCCATAAAACATCAGCTCCCAGCAGCAGAGGACAGATCGAGGGGAGATTAGGAGATAGTGAGGTGGATGGTTTTGGTTGGAGGAGCTGATGAAGTGGAAAGAAAAACGAGTCCCCAGAGTGACTGCAACACCTCAGCTGTGGGATTTAACAACTGAGGGCCGTTAGGTAAAGCTATTTATTACAGTGTGCTGTCTGTCAGCTGTGAAACATCTGAGGCTTATTCTAGGCTCTTCTTCATGTGATTTGAAACAGGCTGGTCTCTGGACCAAAACATATTTGAAAAGATGGAATACATAGAAAAAAGCACAGATAAGTACTTCTGAAACTGGTTTAAATTGGTCTTTATTCAGTCTTTATCAAATTAATAAGAGGCCAAAGCGTTAAAAATAATCCTCTGACTCTGTAGTTTCCCATTAACCTGAAAGCTGAATGATACCTATAGTGTGAAATTATACCTTCTGTAAGTCAATTACACCGTGATTCTTGCTCTCAAGAGTTTAAATTTAATTTTCAGGTTCTATAAAAGTTCTAAAGGCTTGTTAACCCAACCTCCGACAGTGATGAGGTGGTACGGAGACAAACAGCCATAATGTTGCATGACCGAGACACAATATCTAGACAGATGTATAGTGCGCAGCCTCAAAGACAGACACAAGCATACAGGGAATGGATAAACCTTTTAAGAAAATGTCTTTTGTCGCATCAGAAATCAGGAATTAACCCTCACAGCCAAGATGGTGAAACATTACACTGAAGGTAGCTGACACCACAGGCTGGAGAAACTGATCCGGGATATCTACTGACAGATACACGCACAACCACACGCTCGTGATGAGTAAGTATCACTGATCATGAGTATCACATGGTCCCGATCTTGTGTGTTTATGTAAACAGCAGATGTGGGTAGAAGAAACAGGATGATCTGACCGGGAAGTAAAATTCATACCATTGTGTTACATTCGTCACACTTTCTGTCCTAAACACTCCTCTTAGTCACATTGTTTTCAGTCTCCTGCAGTTTCGCTCTCTTCCTTTCCCATAGACGCCTAAGAGCAGACAGTAAATGTCACCAGCTACCACTGCCTCCCCACATGCAGCCGAGCTGGCCTAGTTAGGGTTGCTGACTCCCTGCTAGTTTGTCTAGAGGAGGGAGTGGGCTACTTTCAGGAGTATCCTTACTTCACTCTGCTCTGCAAATACTACTTAGTTGAAAATCCATCTCCAGCACATGAACACGTCAAAAATACAGAAAAATCCAGGGAAAGAATATCAAAAGAAGTAAAGGAAGACTTACTTGAAAAGCCCTTCATGGAATAATAAAATATTGGGATTTTTTCACATAAGCCCTCACTCGGCAAAGCCACACATTGAATTCAGTACATTGCTCAAGGGGGGAACAGGCAGTATTCGTAGCCACCGTCCACATTACCCAATAATAATAATAATACCACAGGCTTAGGCTTTGAACTGAATCCTTTCACTTCTCTTTATGCTCTCAGGCGAAGAGTTCTCAAACTCTTTTTAAAGCACAGGACATCGTGCTTTTTGAATTTGTCCTGCACGAACAAAGACACTGCAGTCGCTGTGCTGACAAGTAAATGAATAAAAATTCAAAAGAAGAACTCGTCGAACTCTTCACTTCTCTGAGGAGCCTGTAGATAAGCATGTTGCTTGGGGCCAACATGTTGCAAGTTAAGCAGGCAAATCATATTTTCACAGTAATGGTTAAAGATGTTCAAAAATGTATGATGAACAGATTCTACTTGCATAAATCTGTGTCTAAGTATGAAGTAAAAACCTGGAACGTGCTTGATCGAGCTACTAACATTAATGTCCTACAAAGTCAAATAAAAGTATACACACAGCATGTATTGATGTTTCTACCTAAATCCAAACTCTATACTGTAACAACAATCTGATCAGTGGATAAAGTCAGCATGTAGATGAACTTCTTGGAGAAGATGACAGTGATGAGACTCACCAATGCGGTTTCCTGGAGGCCGGCACGAGTCGAGCACTCGAAGCATACGGAAAGGTGACAGCCTCAGTGGGGTGTCTCTCTCCACCATTCTTACCCCCTCTCCCGTTCTAACCTCCCCCGTTTTAAGGTCTCCGACTCTGGGAACACGGGCAGAGCATCCTTGCAGATTGTCTGCCATATCCATTGCTCCAGTGGGTTTAAAGCACTAACATTTGAAGGTGCATTTAATAATGCCAATAAACATTTCATTAAAAAAATCCACTTCAGTTAAGTCCTGGAGCCCAACAGTGTGGGTGGCACCAGGTTTGAGTAGCAGTAGCTGATTAAGGATCCGAGCTTCCTGGGAAAAATCCAATCCTTAGGCTACCTCAGTGCTGCCAGAAGAGCCCCATGCAGTAAAGAACAGGTCTGACATTATTGTGCAGACTGCACAGGCACACTAAATCCAACAACTCCCTCGGCTGCTACTCCACTTTAACACACTCTGCCTCTTCCTGTGTGTTTTTCTTAGCAGACATTCCTTCTCTCCTCCCTTTCTTGCTTTTTCCTCTCTGCAGTCGCTCTCTGCGTGCTGACTAAGGAAGGTCAAACACTGTGCAGGTATGCAAAATGCTGCAGAGACGGTCCAGCACGTGCAAGCTAGAAACTGTTACGATCTGCCATCTCAGAATAACAGGTGTTCTGTCATCATCTGCCTTCGTCCGGACACAAACCCGCAAACAGGGACTGTGTGCAAGGACTCACAACGCACTTAACTTGCAGCTCCTAGCAAGGAAAACACAGCCAGACCTTCCCTTTGCTTCTGTCCTTTGTGACTTCTTCATTTGCGTTCTTGTTTCTTCTTTTAGCTGATGTTTTTCTGCGTCTGTGGCAGATCTCTTCTCTTTGTCCTCCTTCAACTGTTATTCAACACGGCACTCAGGCTGCTGTGCTGCTCTCCTTCTTTCCACTCCCTCTCCCGTTTAGTCCCTCCTTGCCTCTGGCGCCGCTATCAGTGTTGTCAGTGCTCCTGCTCCCTCCCTTCACCTTGCTATTACTCCCCTCCCTCTCACATGATAGAAATCTCCATCTCTCCCCCCTCCATCTGTCTTTATCTCTCCCTCCCTATTTCTTGCTATCACTGTCTGGGTCCAGAGATGGTGTTGAATATCAGTACAGTCATCCTCCTTTTCTATTCACGAGCCGATGACATTTTCTGCCTGATCGGCCTCTTTCTTGCACTCCATCTTGTTCACCACCTCTTTCTCGTGCTCCCCGCCCTCCCTCCTCATGCTTATCACTCTCTAGTGTAGAAAAATGAAATCCCGAGGCTTCAGAGCGATGCCATGGCATTCGCTCCCCTTTCTGCCTCAGTCCTTCCATATCGACATGAAACACGGGACACAGCAAGCACGCGCTCTTTCCTGCACATCCCACTGCACACAGGAAACTGTGACAAACACAACTCACATGATGCTGACTATTGACTAATGGCTATTAGACACACCTGAGAGCAAACAGACTATTACATCTATACAAACTAACAGCAAGTTCAAAATAATATTAGGAAACAGAACTAAAAGCATTAGGAGCTGATTAAGTAATTTTTTCTCCAAGCTGAGGGATCATTGGGTTGATATTTGTTACATTTATGTGGTACGAATGGTCTACCCCGTAGAAATCGTTTAGTGCAAAGGCTGTTTTTAGATGAATCCCTGAGAATCCCATTCATGCAGCACTTGCTGGATCTCCTCCTTAAACCTGATTTTCATTTGGTTGAAGTTTGTTGAAGTTGCAAGAATGTCCTCTCGACCAAAACACCACGTCCTGTCCTGGCACATGACAGCATGCTGGGACGCAACATACTTCTGGTCATTACTGCTGAATATCCTCTTTCAAAAGATGCTGTTATAGTACAAGTCCCCAATGACCTCTCATACAAGGGACAAATTCATGTTGCACAACCTTGTTGAACAGCAGCATGCTCGTAATCAGACCTGACGTAGGATATGAAATTTACCACTTCAAATGAAAATTGCTCAAAATGTCCAGAGACAATGTTCCTATTTCAAGCAATACTTGAAATATAATTAACTCTCTGAAGAGCACAGATATGTACTAAATTGGTATAGGATACAATTTGCTCAGTATCTTTGCGCATAAACCCTACAGCCTCTCACGTGTTAGCAAAACAACGGTGGAACAATATTGGGCATCGGAGGAGGGATTCACAGCAGAGAACGAGACCTGTTAACAATTACGAATAAAAACAGTTGTATATGTTGTCTCTGATTCAAATCATTGCTCGAGGCAGCAGTCGGTGGATATTGGTAGGACTTCCTACCAAATTCTAAAACCTTGCTTACACCCATGACACCTAACATTAGAAAAGTGTTTAGAGAACATAA